CTATTAGTTTTAGGTGTACAGCATAGAGGTTAGACAGTCATATAGTCTTACAAAGTGTTCCTCCTGATATTTCTAGTACCCACCTTCCACAATACATAGTTATTACAATATTATCTATAATAATAAAAGCGTAATGTGCAAATAGACTGAACAGCAGAACGACTGTCCAGACGACTTTCCGGACGACCACGCTATGACACGCCCTGGCACCAGGCCAGCCAAGGCAGGTGCAGTGCGATTGGTAGGGGGGACCCGCCGTAGGGTCCCAGGTTCGATTCCGGTCAAGGGCATGTACCTTGGTTGCGGGCATATCCCCAGTAGGGAGTGTGCAGGAGGCAGCTGATCGATGCTTCTCTCTCATCAATGTTTCTAACTCTCTATCCCTCTCCCTTCCTTGCTGTAAAAAATCAATAAAATATATATATATAAAAAGAATAATTATCCAAAAATGCAGAACAGAGAAAGGCAAAGGTTGGGAATTAGGAAGTGAGAATCAGATGATGATAGATCAAATGAGCAAATTATATTTTTAAAATTTATTTTTAAATTACAGTTTACGTTTACTATGACTCTATTAGTTTTAGGTGTACAGCATAGAGGTTAGACAGTCATATAGTCTTACAAAGTGTTCCTCCTGATATTTCTAGTACCCACCTTCCACAATACATAGTTATTACAATATTATCTATAATAATAAAAGCGTAATGTGCAAATAGACTGAACAGCAGAACGACTGTCCAGACGACTTTCCGGACGACCACGCTATGACACGCCCTGGCACCAGGCCAGCCAAGGCAGGTGCAGTGCGATTGGTAGGGGGGACCCGCCGTTGCCCCATGATCACCCTGCAGAGGGAGGCCCAGGCCACTCTCTGTGGGACGATCAATGGAGGGGCTCTGCTATTGATCTCCCCAAAGAGGGAGGCCCAGGCCACCAGCTGGTGGAGTGATCAAGGGGGGCTCCACGATTGCCCCAGAACCTTACCTGTCACCGAGATCATGAGGTGATCACTGGGCTCTGAGGCCCAGAAAGGAGCCCTTGTTTGGTAGTACACACAGCTGTAGGCCCCAGTGTCACTGCCTGTCACACTTGGCAGGGAGAAGTCTGTCTCCGTTCCTACTGCACTCTGGACCTTTATGGGTGTTGACGTTCCTTTCTTCAGTAGAGCAAACATGTGAGGCTGTGTCATATGCCTGGGCTGCTGGCACTGCAGAATCACGTTTTCTCCTGCAGTCACCTCACCCCTTTGGTGGGCTTTAAGCGAAGGTTTAGGGAAATTTCCTGTAAGAGAAGGAAGCTCAGGAGTCATGGGCAGAAGCCTTGGGTCCCGCTCAGGCGTGTTGTCCTGGCAGGTTCCCAGGGAACGTGGCAAGTGACAGACACCTGGCCTCACCCTCTTTCTGCTCTGACTCCAGGAAGGAGATGTCCCTCCTACAAGCCCTGGATGGGGGCAGGGTCCCCAGCTCTGTTCCTGTCCTTCTCCCTCCACCTCCCCATCTACACTGGGGGTGAGACCCCTGCTCCTCTCTCATTCTCTGGATCCTCCCCCATCCCTTTCCTAGGGACATGGTGTGTCATTCTGAGCACCCGTCCTCACCTGTCACCAGTAGTAGAAGGACGTCACTGGGCGGTGACCTTATGGTGGGGCTCCCTTTTCTGTAGTATTCACAGGTGTACTCTCCAGCGTCACTGGCTTTTACACCACTGAGGTGAAATTCCACCAGGCCCCCTGGGGAATCAGAAGATGGCGAAGACTCCATGGCATTTCTTCCCCCTTTGAGAGCAAACTTGACGTCCCCGAAGTTGACCTTCTGGGTAGGAGTGGAGCATCGCACTGTCACATTACTACTGGCAGGAACCATTGAGCTGGGCCAGGCATGGAGGGAGGGTCTGGGAAGTGACTCTGGAAGGAAGCAGAGTCCAGGGCTGGATTTGATTTGCTCACCTGCTGGAAACCCATTTAAAAAAGGGAAAGGGAAAAGTGGGGGCTTTGAGGGTGAAGGATCAAAGAAGGTTTAAGTTCAGAAACACTCACCATCTCTTCTTCTGTCTCTTTGGCCAACACACAGCCCTGCAAAGTAATCATCCAGGAGACATAAGTGCCTGCCTGGAACTCACATCATCATTCTGCCCTGATCCCTGAGGGACCATCTCAGGGGCTCAGGATGGAGTTGTAGCTCTGGCAGACATGCATTTGGGATTTTCTACACTGGGCTCTGCTCTGCTCCAAGGTCCTCCACCAGACCTCCCAGAGGTTCTCCAAGCTGCCCTCACTTCCCAGGGCTCCAAGATCTTTCCTGGTTCCACAAAATTCCACAAATCTGCCTGTTCTCATCTTCTATCCTGAACCACTTTTTATCTTAACATTTCGTTTAGTATCTGTGTTATGTTTTCTAGATCTCTCAGTCTTGTGTGGGAGATTGTAATCATGAGAAAGATCAGGGAAGCTAGGTGACTGAGTGTAACCCTGTTCACTCTTGATGTTACCTGAGGCCCCATATAGGCCTGAGTCTTCTGACAGTTTCATCTGTGATAGAAGAACCCCTTTAGTAAAGTCTACCAGAGGCCTTGGATGACATAAATTAAGTCATAACATTTGCTTGCAATTTTTAAAAAAAATGTTTGTTTTTAAATATATTTTATTGATTTATCACAGAGAGGAAGGGAGAGAGATAGAGAGCTAGAAACATCGATGAGAGAAACATCGATCAGCTGCCTCCTGCACATCTCCTACTGGGGATGTGCCCGCACCCCAGGTACATGCCCCTGTATGCTCCCTACTGGGGATCGAGCCTGCAACCAGGGCATGTGCCCTGACTGAGACTCGCACCTGGGACCTCTTGGTTCATGGGATGACGCTCAATCCACTGAGCCACCACAGCTGGGCTGCTTGAAATTTTTAAGAGACTTCATAGAAGACTATGTACTTCATACCATGGGAGACACAAGATGTCACTGTCTGTGACCAGCTGGAAGGCAGGGAGTCCATGCTGTCCACCACATTATCCCAATGTTCCACAGGTCCTGGCCCATAGTAGGACCTCTATGAAAGCACATTGACTGACTGGTGAGGTGCCCCAGGTTAAGAATGATTGAGAGATCTTACCAGGATATAGAAAGTTGGCAACCTTACAGTCTATTCCTATCCTCCATCAGCTTCACTCCATCCCAACCTCACACCATAGAGACTCACATTCATTTGGTGCGGCAAGGAATTGGCTGAGAGGCAGAGAAGCCCTATATTAGGATAGTGCCAGTTGTGACAACCTCAGCCTTCTTTAAAGGTTTCTGACCCCATCTTTGCCATTGTGTGTTTCATCACATGATGTCTAAATGGGACAAAGTTTACTGCTTAGTGTCCTAAAACAAACCTTGAAAAATCCAAATGGATATTCCAGAAAAGAGAAAGCATACCTTCTTTCCTGTCTCCCATACAGCTGTATTTGTAGGATGCCAGGGAGCCCCACCAGAAGGTCACTGCCCAGTGACGTCCTTCTATTACTGGTGACAGGTGAGGACGGGTGTTCAGGATGACACACCATGTCCCTAGGACAGGGATGGGGGAGGATCCAGAGAATGAGAGAGGAGCAGGGTCTCACCTCCAGTGTAGATGGGGAGGTGGATGGAGAAGGCCAGGAACAGAGCTGGGGACCCTGCCCTCATCCAGGGCTTGTAGGAGGGACATCTCCTTTCTGGAGTCAGAGCAGAAAGAGGGTGAGTCAGGTGCCAGGGTTGATAAAGAGACTTCCACCTGCCTGGAGTGGCTCAGTGGTTGAGCTTCACCCTATGAACCAGGAGGTCACGGTTGGATTCCCAGTCAGGGCATATACCTGCGTTGCAGACTCAATCCCCAGTGTGGGGAATGCAGGAGGTACCTCATCAATAATTCTCTCATCATTGATGTGTCTATTTCCCTCCTTCCCTTTATCTCTGAAATCAACAAAAAAGAAAAGAGATACTAAATGTTCTTACAATGAACAAAACATTGCTTTTCAGAGACAATAAGGGAAAGAGAAACAGTGGGAGGGAGGGAGAGAGTGAGATAGACAAACATCTATGTGAGAGGCACATCGATGGGTTACCTCCCACATGCACCCCAACTGAAGGGCAGGAAGCTAACCCGCAACCGAGGTACCTGCCTTTGACAGAGAACCGAACTGCAACTCTGTGGTGCTCAGGCCGATGCTCTAACCACTGAGCAAACACGCACCAGGGCTAAGCCCCTTTGTTCAAATCGAGGAGAAAAGGTTAGTGTATGGAATCACACCTCTGTCACTGACTGAAAAAGAGAGTGTTCCTCCATGGGCTCAAACTTGACAATGAACAGCAAAGACTAGAATTCTTAACATTTTCCACCTCTTCATTCTTTTTTTTGATGACTACATTATTAGTTACAGTCTTGCTACATTATTTCAAATAATTACATTCATTTGATTTGAAGAAAAAGAGTTGACACAGTGCCAATAAAGTATTAATTACACGAAGGTGGTGCAGGCATAGAGCACCATCATGACTGTGGAATACACATATTCCCATACTGAGAAACACTTGATACGTAAGTGGCCATAAAACCTGCAGCATGGGTCCTGATGTGTGTACAGCAATCAATGAATAGAAGGCAGTTTTATCTCTGTTGTACTCCTCACATCTCTCAGTCAATCCATCCTTGTCTTAAATCCCACTGCAGCATGGGTCCTGATGTGTGAAGCAATCAATGAATAGAAGGCAGTGTTATCTCTGTTGTACTCTTCACATCTCTCAACCAGTCAATCCACCCTTGTCTCAAATCCCAACATATCAATCCTAAGAAACTTACCAAATAAGAGGAGAGAAAGGAATTCAGGGACCATACTGAGCCTGCTGCTAGATTCAAGGATCCGTTCTCAGTTTAAAACCACAGGAGGAAGGACAGCTTGATGTGGTTGGTGGCACCTTTGTTCCAGCCCATTTCTTCCTTCCCTTCTCGTAACCCACAGGCTTGAT